CGGGTCCTTAATTAGCTGGGACCTGGGACCCGGCCAGGACCTGATCGGCGGCGTGCGACTGGCCAGGCATGACGTGCAGGTCCCTGACGCCGAGGAGAGGGGGTGCAACAGGCAGTGAACCCCAACTTTCCCGGCCAACCTGGGGGAGTCCTCCCGCCTCCTGCTGGGGGGAGACTCAGTGACCTGGGGGAAGGATTGGGGCGGCACAGCGGTCCCCAGCCTGGTGTTGGCCAGGCCCCACCTCCGCATCTCCAACATCCTGATGCCCCACTTCCCCTGACAGAGAGTTCTCATTGTTCACACAGTGAGCTCCTGTTCACGTGGAGGAAGCCTGAAAGCCCATGAACTTGGTCTAAACAGGCTTCCCAAGAGCATGGCGTCCACGAAAGAGAGAAAGAAAAGAACAAAAGGGCATTTCACTAAAATTGTTAATAATAATAACGGTATGAAGGGATGGAAAAAATAGCAAATAGTTTCAACACATATTAGAGAACTGAAATGCACAAATATGTCACAACGTATATTTATATGCTAAGGCCCCTAAGAGAAATGCAAAAAATCCACTGTGAACAGCTCATTCTGCAATTGCCTTCCCTTAAACATCAAATCGCGCCCCCGTGGGGGGTGTGCCCCACACCGGGGACCACTGGGCTAGCCAGCGGGTGCTGGCCGGCCACGGAGCTGGGGCTTATCCTTTTGAAAAGATTATTAAACTGTTTAAAGTAAATGTAGCCCTGGCTGGTGTGGCTCAGTGGATAGAGCGTTGGCTTGTGGACTGAAGGGTCCCGGGTTCAATTCCCAGTGAGGGCACATGCCTGGGTTGCGTGCTCCATCCCTATTAGGTGGTGTGCAGCCAATCAGTGATTCTCTCTCATCACTGTTGTTTCTAGCTCTCCTTCTCCCTTCCTCTCCGAAATCAATAAAAATCTATTTTAAAAATAATAATAAATTAAAAGGTAAACTTCGGAGGAGCCTGCCTGATGGATCCGGGCGGCCAGTTGTGCTTACAGCATCTGTGATGTCCAATCGCTCGCCAATATCCAATATCCAACCGCTCATCACCCACCCCCAGCAGGGGGCGGAATGCTTCGTTCATTGTCTGAGTTGTTTTCAAGAAACTGGGCCTGAGGATCCCTCGGAGGGAAGTGGGGAGTTCGGGGCCCCTGCTGGCCTGCCCAGCCTCACGGGGGCCACGCCCGGTGCCCACATTCCCGAGCGGACGGAGCTGGGCTGTGGGCTGAGGGACCCCGCTGTTGGCTGTGGCCGCATGGGGAGAGCCAGCCCCCCACCTCACCCGCCGAACAGAGCCGAGGGCCGGGCAGGGGACGCCGAGGTCCCCCCGAGGGAAGCAGGGCAGCAGCCTGCTGGGCACCGGAGGCGGCCGATGAGGGCGGGGAGGGCGTGCTGGGGACAGAGGGACAGCAGGTAGTGAGCGTCTGGTGGTGCCCACAGACTGAGGCGCTCCTGTTGCCCCCATGTGCCATGCACACCTCCATCTCCCCAGGAGCTCGGGGCCGATGCCACGCCCCAAACGCCCTCGTCTCTGCAGACCTGGGTCCGTGACCCCCGGTCACTGCCCAACGGACAAACCTCCTCACCACCACGTCCGCCAGGCAGACGGGAGAGCCCCATCCCCGCAGGCACGGGGAGTTCGGCGATGCTCCCACCAGCAGGCATGGCCCCTGCCCCCCAGACTGGTCACAGCGCCGCCCTGCTGTCGGGAAGGCCGTGCCCCCTTCCTGCGGACACACAGACATGCCTGTGGCCAGCTGGGATGGGCCCCATCGATTCAGACTCTGATCCTACGGGCCTGTCTCTGCACATTTCTAGTCAATCAGAAAGCTTCTCAATGAAACACCTGGCTGCTGTGGCTCAGGGGCTGAGCGTCCACCTAGGAACCAGGAGGTCAGGGTTCGATTCCCGGTCAGGGCACAGGCCCGGGTTGTGGGCTCCATCCCCAGTGTGGGGCGTGCAGGAGGCAGCCGGCCCATGATTCTCATCATTGATATTTCTCTCTCCCTCTCCCTTCCTCTCTGAAATCAATAATATATAATAATAATATATATTATTGATTTCAGAGAGGGAGAGGGAGAAACATCAATGATAAGACAGAACATCTTTTTTTTTTTTTAAATGAAAGTATGCCCTAGACGTTTTTTGCTCAGTGGACAGAGCATGGGCCTGCAGAGGAAGGGTCCCCGGTTCAGTTCCGGTCAAGGGCACACGCCCTGGTTTGTGGGCTCACCCCAGAGGGGGGCACGTAAAATGCAGCCGATCACTGATTCTCTCCATCACCGATGTTTCCACTGCTCCCTCCCTCCCTCCCTCCCTTAAACCATAACATGTTTATTAAAAAAGGACCCACTCCTTCCGAACGAAATCGACCATGAGACATCCTGCCAGGTCCAGAGATGGAGCCCCGTCACCAGCAGGACGGGGATTGCGTGTTCAGAGCCCTGGTTCCTTGCAGGCGAGGGGTGGGGTGGGGTGGGGTGGGGTGGGGGGCGGAGGCCCCACGCGGCCTGCCCCAGGCACGCCTGAGCGCCCCTGTGGGCGGTGCCTGACCCGGACCCGGGCGGCGGGGAGCGGGCGCCCACCCAGACCTGGCCGTGCCGGGCTGCGCGCGCTCAGCTACCGCGGAATGAGGGGGGAGCCGGTTGCCTAGGAAACCCTCCGGTCCTGGTAATTATGACTGTAACGGACTGCACTCCCCACCTATAGCAGAATGAATAATGATGCTCGCCCGTGACTGGCAGGCCCGCCGCCGCCGCTCGCCGCTGTCCCCTATTGGCACCCGTGGGGAGTGACAGGGAGCCGTGGGCCTCCCAGAGAGACACCCACAGAGAAACGCACCCCCCTCCTTCCACCCCCCCACGCCCACCCCCACCCACGGCCCCCTCCCCCTCCTCCTCCTCCCCCTCCTCCTCCTCCTCAGGGTCCGAGTCCAGTTCACGCAGATTGCTGCCCGATCAATAGAGCAAAAATGAAAAGTGCTCGGGGGCCCGCGAGACGGCGGGGGTGGAGCCGGCTAATGGCCGTCGGTCATCTCAATTAAAAGCCATTTCATACGGTGACAGGAGCGGGCCCAAAAGGAGGCACTTAATACGGTTAGCAGAGGCGGGCGCTGGCGTGACGGCCCCGGCCCCCACCCCCGCCCAGCCCCCGGGCCCCCGGCGGGCCGGGACGCACCGCGCTATAAATAACACCCGTCGGAGGTTGTGATCAATTAAACGGCGTAATTAACGGAGACGGTCCATTTGTCTCTGCGGAGCCGTCCGAGCCGGCGGAGCCGGATCCCGCCGGGAAGGCGCGTTGTGCGGGAGGAGGACGCGTGGCGAGCCGGGGCGGGTGTGAGACACAGCGGGGGCCGGCGAAGCTCACGCATCGCGGGGCGAATGTGGGCCAGTGCGGCGGTTTGTAACGGAAACACCGCGTCCAAGGACACGCAGCCGGCTCCAGCCCTGCCCCTCCCGCCGCCACTGCCAGCCCGGCAGGGACAGCTGCCTCTGCCACCGCTGGGCGGGCGCCGCTCCCGGTGCCCACGCCAGGCCGAGCTGCTGGGCAGGGCGTCCGCCCGGCTGACCGAGGCCGCGGTGTCCCCACCGGATGCGTGGTGCCCCGGGCGGGTGGGTGTTTCCCGGGAGGAGCGGGGTCTGGCCCGCAGCCCCAGACCCTCAGCCAACAACATCCGGGTTCTGTCCAGTGCAGGCGTTTTATTTTTATTTCTATTTTTTAAACATATTATTATTGACTTTAGAAAGAGAGGGAGAGGGAGAGAGAAACATCCATGATGAGACAGATCATGGATTGGCAGCCTCCTGCACGCCTCACACTGGGCTTTGAACCCACAACCTGGGCCTGTGCCCCAACCGGGAATCGAACTGTGACCTCCTTGTTCCTAGTCGATGCTCAGCCCCTGAGCCCCTGCGGGCGAGCAGTCTGGGCATTTAAACTTGCCCTCCCGGGGCTCGGAAGGAAAGGAAACACCCCGAGGGTTGCTGAAGCTGCAGACACCCTGAGACGGAGGTGGGAGGAGCCGGCGGGCGCCGTCACCCTGGGTTAGGGGCGTCCCGGGGCCAATCGGAGGCTCAGCCCTCAAAGCTCGGGAGCAGGTCCAGCCTGGGCTCCGGGAAGGGCACGGAACAAGGAAGGACCATGAGGGCGGTGCCGGTGGGAGCATGGCCAGGGGGTCAGGGAGCGAGGAGGCCCGGGGCAGGGAGGGCAGGCCAGGCCCCACTGGGGACAGACGTGAGACAGGGCCCCAGGCTCCAGCTGGCCGGGTCACTGGCCCAGGCCTGGCCTCCGCCCTGAGCCCGGAGGCTGGGCACAAGGTGAGAGCACCCAGGGCAGACGGACACCTGGCCAGAGGGCACGGTCTGCAGCCCGGCCTCCCCCGCAGCGCTGTGGACCTCAGGAGGAGGAGGAATCCAGCGCGGGGAGAGGCTACAGCGGAAAAGCCCTCCAGACGGGCACCGGGCGAGACGGGGAGAGGACCCGCTCTGGGGTAGTCCCCCGTGCACACCCAGCGAGCCCTACGGACGCACTGGGCAGTCTGTGAAGTCACCTGGCCAAGCCCTTGGAGCCCGCGGGGCCCGGGGGACAAGCAGCTGAGAAAGGGGCCCCGGGGGAAGGGGGGCCCAGACACACGAGTGCATGGCAGGGATGGGGCGCCCCGGAGGGAGGCCTCTCTCATCTTTCCACGGAGCTGTGACTCCTCGAGACACACGTCTCCCCAAATGAACCATGAAAACCGAACCACGGTGTGGAGCAAACCCACAGGACAAATGGCTCGCCGCCGCCCAGGCCCGGCTTGCTCAACGGTTAGTGTCGGCAACGGGACCACGGGGTGGGGGTTCGGTTCCTGGTCAGGGGCACGAGGGCGGCTGGGGCACTCGCAGCGCACACACAAGCAGACGTTTCCACACGCAGCTCTGAATCATGAAGTCCACAGCATTTCTGAGACCAAGTTTCATAAAATTTTACTTTAAAAAAAAAAAGTTTTACAAAATCCCATTCTTCTGACCAAGAAACCTGCCCACAGGCCAGGGGAGCATCTGCCAAGGACAGCGCAGTCCCGGGGTCAAAGGGCACCTCGCTGCAGAACCCCTGGAAGGTTCTGGAAGGCCTTTCCCAGGCTGAGGCAGGAACAGAAGCGCTGGCTCTGCCGGAACCCTGCGTTTGTTACGTGTCCCCGTGGTGTGCACACCGCAGCGGGGGCGGAGCTGAGCGTGCAGTTCAAACACCACCAGCCGGACATCCTCTCTGAGAGGCGATCCCAGAGCTGCGGCCTCAGGGGCAGCAGCGGCGGCGGTGCCGGTGCCGGTGCCGAGGACGAGCAAGCCGGCTGGGAGTCCTGGGCTCGCTCGGACCCTCACCACCGGACAGAGGCTGCTTCCACTGACTCGGGCGCCTCACTGTCTCCGAGAGCCGTTAGCCGTTAGGTCGTGGGCGCCTAGCTCCGCTGCAGCAGCCTGGCGGCTTTGAACTTGGACACCCGCTTGGTGACCTCCGACCCCTCTGACGGGGCTTCTCTCCGCTCAGGGATGGTGGCCAGCACAGGGGGGGCCGCGGCCGGGTGCAGGGCGAGGCAGGGCGGCATTTCCTTCTCTGTCACCGTTCCAGAAAAAGCCTACAAGACAAACGTCGAGCGTGGTAACAGAACTGAAGGAAGATGCCAGCAGCCCTTTTCCCTGTGCTGTGAATGGCACAGTTCTTTTCATTCAAAGTAAATTCACAAGCTTTCTGGATTAAAAAAATATAACATCAGAATACAAATTGCTCAGAGAAATCAAATGCCATTAAAACATCTGATCACGGCCCCACGAGGGAGGCCTCGTTGAGGCGCCTGGCCGGGCCTGGGCGTCCGCCCGCTCATACCTGTGGGCATTGCACGGGGTCTCGCCTCAGCGTCATGTGCGAGTGGAATTTAGTCACACCGTGGCCCGGCCAGTGAGTCTGGAAGTCTCTATGACCCAGGAGGTCTCTCATCATTGATGTTTCTCTCCCCCCTCCCTTCCTCTCTAAAACCAATAAAAATGCGGGGTTTTTAGTGACAACACTCTCACTGGGGGGACCGTGGGGCCGACCCGAAGGCCCCGGCGTCTGCCGGCCGCCTGGCGCGTGCTCCCCTGGAGCCACAGGACTGAGCACACGCGGGACGCACCGGCCTCGTCACCGCCAGCTCGCCGTCCACAGAGATCGGTGGAGACCAGGTGTGACGACTTTCTACACGCTCCCCGCCCGTGGAACCTCCCCCGGCGTCTCCTCAGAGCCACGGGCACTCTGCGACGGGCCACACTGCCACGCACACACACTGTGCTGACCGTGCAAGCCAGGGAACAAGCTGGTGAAGACGCTGCGTCACTTAGATACAATGTGTGAAACGCTGTTCACCAAACAAGGACCAGCGGGGACTGACGGGGTCCTATGACTTCTGAGGAAGTGAACGTATGAAGTAAAGCCACAAGGTAAGCCATGCCGCTGCCCTTCCACTAATGAACATATAAACACAAGAATTTGAAGGCAGAGACGCACGGCGTTCAGACCAGACCTGGGAGACAGCGCCGGGCACTTCTCACAGGAGGAGCCTCTTACAGAAACACCCACACCCACAAGAGCCACGAGGGATGGACAGGAGCGAGGACCAAAGAGGCCGCGGCACCCCCCCCAGAACCGGCCAAGGGCACGGTGACACGCGTGAGACGCACACACACCTGGAGCGCTCCGGGCGCGGGCGCGGGCGGCTCCGGCTCCGGCTCCGGCTCCGGCTCCTCCTCCGGGATGCTCTCGCCCGCGTCGCTGCCCGCGGCCTCCTCGCCGCTCAGGCTCCGCAGCAGCCCGCGGCGCTCCTCGCCGTCCGCGGCGCTGCCCTCGCTGGTGTCGCTGCACACGCTGTTCTCCCGGCTGCGCGACTTCAGGATGGACTTGCGAGGGACGTACGCCCCGTCCACCAGGTCCACGAAGACCCTGCACCGAGCACACTGCTGAGGCTCGCTGCCACGGAAGTCAGCCTAACATTTCACAGCCCAAATGACTGTGTAGCCTCCAATGACATAGTTCCTGTGCTTTTGAGAACTGTGACCCGGGGCTACTAAAACAGCACTTTATTTATAAACACGTGCTGGGCGACAATAGCTGGATTTACCAAAATTCCACCCGTAACTAAGAGCTCCTTAGGAGGGGGCCAGCCGTTTTTGCCATTTCCACAAACGTGGGTCGTGCAGACTGTCAGGTAGTGCCAGCAACCAGGCCCAGCCAAGGCTGCAGTGACCGTCCCTTCAGCCACCCAACGCCCTCCCCCAGCCCCCAGACACACATAGGACGCGACGTGACTGGATCAATGGGAATGTCTTACAGCGATGACCAAGAGGGCAGGGGCAGAGGCAGGGGAAGTGAGCAGCACGCTGGGCTCTGGACTGAGCGCCATGGCTGGCAGCCGCCAGGGGATGCCCCGGACCCAGGGCCGCCCTCCGAGGCGGCGCCCGCAGGACCGCCGGGCCCAGCCCACCTGTACACGTCGGCCGGACTCCGGATGGCGGGCGGCTCCGGGGCGGGGTGGCCGCCACCGCCGTTCTTCCGCTTCCGTCTGGCCTCCTCCCTCTTCTCACTGAACTTCAAGGTGGTGTTCTTCCCAGTGTTTATTCGCACCTGAAACGTGACAGCACAACATGACACCCTCCTGAGAACTAAGTCACAGCCAAAACGAAAGCCAGCGCCCTCCGCACTGGAGGCAGGAACAGCAGCGGGCCACCTACGCTTCCTGCATGGAAGTGAGGTGCAGCATGACCCCCTCCCGCCTCTCCCCCCGCCACAGCCCGCACGGGCCTCCCAGCACCCAGCTCCACCTCACCAGCGACCACTCCTGCCCCCATGCCTCGGCTCCACACCAAAAGCAAAGGGCAGACCCTTGAGCAACACGGTCTGAGCCGGCCAATCCACTCTCCGAGGTACTTCTGATAAATACACTGAAAACCAGGACGACCCGCTGAGGGCTGTCTGTCCTCCGTGCCTGCTGGGCGCCCCACACTCCCCTGGACGACGCCCCAACACCCTGCGAATGTCACTCCTCTGCCTGTCCTCCGCCGACAGTACGAGAGATGGAAAGCCCAAAAAACCACAAAGCGAACTTTTTTTCCTGGCTAATCAGTCCTTTTCCCACGGAATTCAGTAAGTGCTCCCTTTAGTCTGAAGTATTCGAGCATTAAACAGCAGATAATTATTTCACTTCACATTACAGCAGGGATAACTTCAGGGACCTGAGAAATATCAAATATGTTTTAAACATGTTTCATTAAATAATCATCACAGGCACTTGGGACAGAACCGCAGGCCCTGCGGGGACACACGACAGGAGGAGTGCGAACCGAGACCAGACGTGGTCTCCGAGCCCGTGTCCTTGAGAGACGATTAGAAAGAGGAGCCGCGGGGGCTCCTGGCACAGGGGACAGAGCGCGGGAGGGAGGGTGGCTCTCGGTGGCCTGTCCTTCCTCACCCAGAGCCCGCCCCCAGCGAGCCTGACTTCCCGGTGGCAGGACGGAGGGACAGGCGTCTTTGGATGCTGAAGAGAAGCTCGAACCCCACCTCCTACTGCCAAGACTCTGAAGTCATGAGTGCGCACAGATGTTTATATTTACTGTCAGAAAGGAGGCTAATTTTTACCTCCTCCTACATTCTCCTTCTTGTGCATGATGTTCCTATTCATTCCATGCCCACATAGAAACAGCAGCCTGGATCATTAAAACTAATGCAGCCACTTTCACACACACACACACACACACACACACACACACACACACGCCCGCCACCGGGCCTACAACTCACTCCGGGATTCCCGAGGGAGCCGCAGAGAACCGACCCCTCCCAGACCCACGCTGTCCAGCCCGCTGCAGAGCCGGAGAGAGGCCTGAGAAACAGTCATGGCCCGCTGCGAGCTGACGGCGCGGACTTTTCCCTTTTTTCAATAAACTGATCAGAGCCGGGGGCAGGAGGCGATTTCCTGTTGGCCCGTCAGCATCGTCACCGCTCAGACGGCTGGGGAGAACACCCGACACGAGTCCACACCCACCCGCTTGGGTTCCACCGTGTGGGAGAAGTAGATGGTTGGCACACAGCTGGCCCCGGGCCCGAGCGCGTCATCACTGTCGCCGTCGCCATCCTCATCCTCGTCCTCGTCCCCGTCCTCGTCGCTGAGCGGGGAACGAGAGCCGTTCACGGCGCAGCTCGGACCGTGGAGCCGCTCCGCACCGGGGTCCTCCGCGGGCTCGGCCGCTGGATGTGTCCCGTTCACACGGCCGTTCACACATCTGCCCGCATCCTCCTCCTCCTCCTCCTCCTCCTCTTCGGAAGACGCTGCACCTCCTCCGTTCGCCATCACAGGAGGCGGCTGACTAGAGGAAACGGGGGAAAGAGCAAATGGAACAGACACACTGGAACCTTCTTTTCCTCTTTCCGTTCACGGCAATGGCTGAAAGTTAACATTTCCAATAGGATACTTTTAACTAGAATGCTCCACTGACAAAAACTTTCTGAAATAAACAAACACATTCGCCTCTCTGCTGACTCTGTGTACTGAGGTTATTCAAACATGAGTACAACAGAGTGCATGATTTTTCTAATCTTTGCAAACAGGACACTGGCCTTACAAACTATAAGCACAATGTAAATAATACTACCCGAAATTTGTAAGAAATTCAAAGGATTCTTATCTCTGTTTAAAGATCAGAAATTAAAGCCACAGAACTTTAACATTCTTATCTTCTGTTTCTACATTCACTAGCATGTATTATAATTTTTAAAAATAATTCATAATATGTGCACACAATTTTATTCACATACATACGTGCACGCACATTTTTCATGCTTTATTCTACAAAGGACTTGAGGCCTTATAAAAATATCAAAACCAGAAGTGCAATGGAACTGGAATGCCATGATGCGAGAGAGAGAGAGAAGTCATGACCGAGACCATCACAAGACTCAGCGCATTTTTAAAAAGGAAGTC